AATCAATACAACATACTTGTACATGAAAATTGTCCGTGTATTCCATGATGTAATGAAAACCTTAGCAAGTTTAATTAGGTATTTAAGTTCAACAAAACGAATGAGAACATTGTTTATTTGTTTTGTTGAACTTGAATTATTTAATAAGGTAATGCGTGGTGCAAATATAAAAATACTGACAGCGATGTAATGAATGTTTCCGGAATCAATGATCCGGTAATATAAATTTATTTACACCATCAATATCGACCATTTCAAATCCTTAAATTCCGGGAAAATGTTTGGATTTTTTTTACGCTATTACATCTTTCGCATTCTTTTAAACTGCGTCATATTTCTTGAACTTGAGAGTGTTTGAAATATTTTTATCTCCCTGAAATGCTGATTCTCGCATTCGGACTAATATTTATCGCCAGTTAATAAAATATAATTAAAATTTAATTTATAAATGTTTTGATCATATTTATATATTTATTAAATAATAATTAATTTCTATGTAAGTAATTTGTGTGATTATAGTGTGAAATATACTGTAGTACCCTTAGAAATACAGATTTTTATAGTGTGACGTTTATAATTGTAATAGAGTTTATAGTGTTATTGTTGTATACATACGGTACGGTTTTAAACGTCGCAAGTATTAAAACATTTAAAACATATAATTATAATAAATTCTGCCTATTCAATTTATTTATACATATAACAGTGATATAAACTATTTGTAGGCACATTACGTATTTAATTAAGCCATATAGTAATTGATCTTAGATAAGTGTACACTGGGTGAAAACATTTTCAACTAACATGATTTTGAGTTTAAAGTATAAAAAGTATTTTGTAATACCTTTTAAAAGTGATTGTATGACAACAATCTTCTCGTTTTTTCAGTCTAATGTCAATTCTAACTTTCATAATTTATATTGATACATTTGTTATTGATTGTAATACGATTACAAGTTAAATCGTTTTAAGAAACTGCTTCTTAAATTTATTAAGAGGAAAAATTGCTCATAATATTCATGTGTTTGAATACTATTTTCGATTCCACTACATGGGCGGATCAAAGGTGGGGATTACTGGGGATAAACGCCACCCCCGTAGGAAAAAAATTATATTAAAAATAAAGTATATTCGGAAGAATCAAATAATAGCTGAGAAAAATAAACGTTGACAGTTTTAATACTATATTAACACATTATTATTATTGTTTTTTTTTTTAAGAACGGGGTCTAAAGCCCCTCCAAGACATCCGTACATACGTCTATGATCAGCTGTACTATATAATTTCTTCTAATAAGTGCCCTGACTGTAAATGATGGATCCACTCTCCGTATTTCTCGATCGAGTAGCCTCATCTAATCGTTACACTCGAGTTCAACCATTGAAACGTACAGTACCTGATAGGTGGGTGAGCAACCAAGTCACGTACTGGAACATGCGCATGAGTTGTTTTAAGCACCAAGTTAATTATTGGATTTATTGAAAAATTAAATGGAATGATAAAGGGCAGGCTCAAACCTATGGGTGACCCGTAAGGATAATGTTTTATCGATTTTGATACGTTTCATTTGTACACATTGGTGTAGTATAGTAGAATATTATTCGTAAATAAATTATCAGTTGAATTCCCTTAATATTAATCCTTTCTTGACTTTTAACTATAAATATTTGCTTATATTCGTTCTTGTAGCAACCCGATAACTGCATTATAAGCTCGCGGTTTACAAACATTAAAACCGTATTTTTATTTTTGGTACCCATCGTTACATTTGTTAACCATCAATAACGCATATTAACTAATGTCATTAACAATATTTGTGAGTCACATTTAACTATTTATCTAACTATGAATTGAAATATAAAATATCTAAAAGAAATTATTCGTGGAATGGTTTTTAAAATAAACATCTATCGGAACTCATTAATAAACCTAGTCCCGAAAAAAAAACTTTATAGAAAATAACTATAAAGAGAATTTCGGGTTTTTTTTTTATAGAAAATCATACACATGGAAATTCTGGTGGGATATTTCGATTTAAACCATGATCGTTTATTTATGAATAATATGATAATCATTTAGTTTATAAAAGTTCAAAGCCGAAGCGTTATAAGTGTAAATTAGTTTAATGAAAAATTTACCTTGTTTTATAATGACATTAAACGAGATTAAACTACTTATTATTACGTAGTTAAATAGGACAAGACAGATTAATCGGCTTAGCTTTGTTGTATATCCATCGGAACATTGAACTGGATCCTATGTAATTATAGATAGGTTTACAGAACGTAAAAGGAATAAGGACTTCATATTAGAAATTTAAAACTATTATACTTTTTTGATTATTGTAAAATAATATTAAAAATGTATTATTAGAAATTATTGGTATGGTAATTATTATTGTGTTTATTTTTTCCCCCTAAAGTCATTTAACCATAAAAATTATTGTTATTTTTCTCAAAGAAATTGTAAGAATACAGACAATTTTCCTTTCGTCCCTTCCCCTACATTAAAGCCTACAGACGCCACAATACTATAGTCTTAAAAATTATGAACGATATTAGTTTTAAAAATTATATCACTGTTAAAGGTCAAATGTACAATTTTTAATTTTGAATAAAGCGTTCGGTTTAATTTATTTTTCTACCATCGGTGATCAAAAATTCAAGTGATGAGAGAGTATCAAATAGTGAAATTTCTGTACTGGGATATCAAAAAATTTTTTTAGACGGGTAATTTTTCAATTTAATTTTGATTTTTCCAACAAAAACCCTAAACTTTCGGCCACGCTTAAATAATAGTCACTGTAATTTAAATAGTCAGTTGAATTAAAATTTTATTGTAAATTATGAATGAAAAATATTAATATGACTATTTTGATGAAATTTTGCTGCATAAAATGTTGGTCATAGAACAATAAAATATTGAAACACCGCAGTTAAATTTAAAGTATACAGATTGTAAAAAATATAATAATTATTAATTTTAACACTATCACGATGATCGTATTCAAAAGTTATTCAAAAGCAAATTCAAACAATAAATACAATTTAATGTTAGGTGGATATTAATATTTTATAAAATGCATATTATATCCTGTGTTGAAATGTAAATATTTCTTTACTTCATAAATTAGCACAAAAACTGGATTAGTGTTTAATAGCATCTGTTATTGTTAAGATTTCAGCTACTTATTACCGTTATCAGATTTTCAAATATTATAAAAATAAAATATTTCTATAAAATCCATATATTGTAAAATCAATTTTACCACCATTCAATATTTTCAGAATGTACAATTAGGGAGAAACAACGTTAACTAATAAGAAAATCAAGAAGAATAAGATGCTGATAAACTTTAAGGTCGAACAATAATTGTATGATCTAATCAATTATTCATAAATAATATTTTTCTGAAAATAATAATCTTGTTCTTTATACTAATAAAATGATTTATTAAAACATCAACATAGATAGGAAATTATGTAAAAATTAATACTATTAAATTTTAATAATATGTATCAACATAAGTCATAACTAAACAAATACAATAGAATACATAAGTATTTAAAAAAACAGAAAAAAAAAACATCAATCGATTAACAAAATACTTAATTCAGTATGAACTTTTTGAAGATTTAAATGTTTAAAGATTTCTAAAAGGAACTCGTGGTAGTATAAATATTTCTACAAAATATTTTATATTAATGATTTGACATTAGAATACCAAATTATTCTATATTTTATACAAATATTGAATATTTTTGTTTTAAAATTTCAGTTATTTTTATTTGTTTCTTTCTAAAAACACGCACATGAAAAAGGCACTCCTTTGACATTTAATTATCTAGTAGCATAAAGTTTCAAACAGATCATTTAGTTTCTTTGGAATAGAACAGAACTTTAGACTTCATTATCAGTAAAATAAAATAAGATACTACAAATAATAAAAGTAACAACATATAATAATATTACAATAGTATTATTATCTAATAACGATTATTAATATTACTCATGTAAATATTAACACGATTCTAGGCTACGTCTGGCTATTTTGCTGTCCATTTTGAGCAATAGCCTTGATTAAAATATAAACGTAAATGTTCTATTCAACTAAAATATTCGTATTCAGTACAGTAAGAAATATTAAATTTAAATTAAAATAATATACGTATTATTGGATATCGAATTTTCGAATTTCAATTCATAACTTAACATCAATAAAAGGTTGTTAACATAAATTATTATAGTTCTAAATAAATATTACGGAATTTTGTTAACGAATTTTGAGAGCTTCATTTTTTTACTTAATGTAACTAATATTAAAACACAGTTTTTTAATAATTATAAACATAAATTGAAATTAAATTACATTTTTAATAATTCATAACAATAATTGTATAGATAAAAAGGCAAAATATTAAAAACATAGTCTGTCTAAAAGTTACTGTTTTTAAAATGAATTAATAATAATTCGGTGTTTTAGTTGAAATTAATTATTAAAACACATTGTATTTATAATCATTTCAATAAACTTTTTAAAACATTACAAATTTGTTTAAACTATACATTTATTTTCGAATTGATTTTTAAAAGAATAATCAAGAATAGTTATGATATTTTTGCAAAAAGATTAGGCAAGTAAATTGTAGAAAATATAATATAATGATAGTTATATATTCTTTAAGTAGATGATACATGATACAAGATAATTAGGCCAGCTTTGAATCTAGCAGTATTTTAAATAATCGCAATTCAATTTCAAATACATTTTTCACTTGACTTAGAATAAAAAAGTAATATCTACTTCATTTTTAATTGTAAATTACGACTACAATCATATTAAAACATTGTTAGTAATGAAAAATTACAAATTTCAAATTATCATAACACTTTTAGTAATTTAATGTAAGTAATAGATCATTTAAATTGTTATTTTGTACGCACATTTAATACTTTTATATTTTTAATTGAACTTGAATATATATTAATAATCGTTATTCCTACGTTATTATTTATTATATATAGTGTATAGAGTATAGACTGTATAAAATTTGTCTATTTTACCATTTTGGAAAGAAAAATATTAGTAGACAATATATTATTGAAATAACTTATAAATATCGATATTTTTAATTACGGAATAAATAAATAAAAATATATATTAGAGGTCTTTGTCTTCCAAGTATAAAGGTACCTACATTTACATCATAATAACTGATGAGTAACAAGAAACCATATTTTAATTGTCCCTTGATTTCATGTAGTAATAAATTATTCTGAGTATTTCATTTTCTATTTAAAATATTACTAAGTAATTAAACGAAGTAATTAGTGAATTGGTTTTCAGACGTGCTTCAGATTCTATAAATATTTCTTAAAGATATGTGTATTAAAAAACAGTATTTATGGTTATCATTTCACTACTAAAATAATCTCATGAGAGAAGACCTTAATATACATTTGATCTTATAAAAATAAAATGAAAAAAAATCATTAAGCATTCGACTCTTTAAGATTATGGAGTTTGGCCAGTTGTCCAGGTTCAAGTTCTGAAGGCAAACCTGCAGCATCGGTGGGCTCGTCGGATTCCAGCATTTTCAGATCGTATTCAGACTCTTCTGGTATTGTAGCCGGATAATAATCACTGTCTACACTCATACGATGCTCTTCTTCTAATTTAGATTCCTGTTTCGATTCAGATAGATCCTCTGAAACTGGTTGTTCCACTTCAGCTTCATCTTTGGAGGATTCTTGACCAAATGGTTTTTCTGATTCTTCCTTCATTGGTGTAGCTGCAGTGATAACGATTTGAGCAACTCCAAGTCCATCCGTCGAAGGTGCTGGTGGTGGAGGAGCATCCGGAGGCCCAGAACAATCATTCTGAATATAAAATTTATAATTTGATTAAACTTTGTGAGATATAAAATAGAGATTAATTTGATTTTTAATATAGGTAGATACTGGTTAACCATACATTTTATTATATATATTAATTAATGATAAATACCAGTAGAATAATTATTTAGGAATTAATCGTTTTATTAATTACAAAATAAGTTAAAAAATTACCTCATTTTCAATAAATAATTGCGGCACACCAGGAACTATACATTATGTGTAAAAAATAGTGGATTAAAATTTGAACAAAATATTGACTCATTGAAAATATATACGTACCGGTTCTTGAATTGCTATTGAAAGACTCATCTTCTTCCGAAAACTGCGTATCGTAATGTTCTTGTTGATTTTGAGTTAATTCCATTGAAAATTCGTTCGATTTCTTTGGAACTAGAACCAAAAATACATTTAAAAGATATCATAATTATTATTATATTATGCCTACTATTATATTTATTTTGTTTAAATGATTATAGTTTTTCCAGGTTTACTTCTAAATAAAATTTATATTTTGAACACTTGAAAATTCAATTTCAAATTATTTTTGATGTGAATTTAAGTATGATTTATAAAATTAGGTTTTAGTAACATTAATATTGACTTATTAATTTAAACGATAACAAAAAAGTAATGACTTAACATTCACTACATTGTTATGAAACTTACGAATTTTATTTTAAATACATATAAGTAAACATAAAATAAACTATTTATCATAAGCACATTGTTATTTTTTATATTTAAATTGTAATCATGTTGTAGTGTTACAAAATATATATTTTATAAATGTTTATAGTGTACTTAAGATGTTAGTATATATAATACAATGTATATATAAAGTAGGTCAGTATATAATGAAACTGTACTCAGAGTAAACGAAACAAAATGGGAATTACATGTTGATAAAATTGGTCTTCTTTAATTATTTTATAATATACGTTACATACCTTCTGGAGCAAAACTTCCAGGAGGACCATACTCTCCAATAGGAGTAGGTTGCGTGACAATCACTTGTGTTGGAAATAAATGTGTGGGTAATTCGGGTGGTGTTATCATCGGTGGCGGTGGTGGTGGTCCGCTTGTAACAAACTCTGGATGATCTTCATTGGAAAAATCACTATCTCCATTTTCAGACGTTGGTGTAGGTACCAGATCACCATTTTCGTAACATTCTTTAACTAAGCAAGATGGAAAGTGTCCTATCTTATTACCCAACTCACCTACCCACCATCCATCATCTACATGTGTAGTTTTATCTAATACTTTGATGATTTGACCTTCTTTCATACCTAGTTCTTCGTGATCATTCCCGTCATAATCGAACAAGGCTATACAATATGACGGGATTTCAATTATACCTAAACAAATAAAGTTGAAATTAAAATAAAAATCAATTTATTCATGATTAGTTATCACTTAATACTATGAACTAGTTAAACATTACATTTTTTTATTATATACTATAAAGACATTACTACCTCCATCTTTCTTTTCCCATACTGTAGTTATGCTTTTTTCCGATGATTGTTCCTCAGTTTCGATATCTTCATCAGATTGACATTGTTGTAATTGAGTGGACGCCTCGTCGTTAACCATATAATCCACCGAAGAAAAACTAATCTGGGAACGAAGTTGGTAAGTTGTTGGAGTATCGTGTGTTTCTGGTTCACACGTTTCTTGTTCAATATCCAAATAGTTTGATGGTACGTATCCTACTTCGCCTTTATAATTTCTAGCTTTCGACCAACCGTAATTGTCACTGTCTACACTAAAAACTTCAAGCTGCTCGTTTTCCACAATACTTAACTCATCAGGATGTTGAGCCTAAAATATTTATTATCCAAATTACATTATAAATACAATATGATTTTTAAAATATTTATGAAATTCTATTATAATATAAAAATATAAATCGATTATAATTATAAAATAATAAAAACCTTTTGAAAACTAAAACATTCAAAATATAAATTAGTTTTATTTTTCTAAAATAAATGTTATTATTTTCTACAAATTTTATCCATTTTGGATTCCCATCTAATGAATCTATGGATTTCGTCAGATACTATATAAAATACTTACCTAAATATTACTTGAATCAACATTAAAATAATAATAAAAGCTACAAAAAATAATAAACTTATTTTATTTCATGATACAATGAGGATTACATTTAGAATATATACGTTTTATTAAATAACGTTTTAATTTATAATAATTTTTTTTTATCCTACTACTCTTGCATCCTCTAATATTTACCCCCTATAATCAAAATAACGGAAATATTTACAAGCATATAGAGTTATGTAAAATAATGAACAAGGAATCCTACTATAAAAGTATAATACTTTAAAATAGTAGTTAATTTTTATAAAATTCATAATAATAATACAACATCTATTTTTATACAAATTATTCTAACTTATTTACTATAAAATCTAGAATAATCCTTTAAATATTTCTGTTATAATTCATATTAAAAATTTAAATTATCTATTGGGATTCAATTATATTGTTTAACTTACAGTATAAGTATACAATGCAGTACATTTGTAGACAGGACCCTCGGGTTCTTCAGGGGTAGATTGAGGAAACATCGTTTTATCTTCATTATCACGCGTATCTTCCCAATTAACTTGTGTTGGATCATCCCAACCTGCTGTCAACTGTTCAATTCGTTGTCGTTCTTTTTCCACAAGAGCTAATAAAAAATTAAAAAATTTTAGGATTTCTTATAATTAAATATAAATATACATATAATATACATATACAGGAGAGAACAATTTTTATTAAAACACTTCTACTTAAATATTTTTATTGTTTTCATTGAAATCATACTATATTGTAAAACGAAATAATCTTTTTTGATTATTTCTTAAGTATTATCGATGTTTGATAATTTTTTATATCAAAAATATTTATATTTACAATTAAATCGCAATAATTTAAACTAAACTTGATTTTGATTTTATTATTTTTAATTTCTGATATGCTTATGATATAATTAATAAAATACAAAACAATTAATTATTTTTGTTAATCTTATTATAAATCAATTAATTCAATTAACATTTGTTAATCTCGATTGTAAAATATAAGCAAATATTTAATACTAATTATTTATAATAAACAAAATAAATAATATAATACCAAATCAGTATAATTAAAATAACTTAATTTAATGTAATTATTTACCCCAATCTTTATCCATTTCAGCCGAATCCGGTCGTTCTTCTTCATCTTGAGATAATGACTGTGGTTGATCCGAAGGTACTGGACTATCAGAAGGTCCATCGCCATAATCTTCACTATCATAATCTGATGTCATAGCACTAGTTGTAATTCCATCAGCTGGTAAAGAAGATGTACTATTTGATCGTTGAAGTTCAGTATTTATATCACCCATATCTGCTAGCCATTCTTCCACATTTACTATAGTATAAGATAATTATATAGTTAATACCTAAGTATTCCAATTACGTAGCAATTTTAATTTTGATTATTTCAAAGTTTAATAAAAAACTTAATAACCCCCAAATCAAGATTTCTATAGATTTTTAAATAAAAAATATGTATACCATTCCCATCTCCGTTTTTCAAACACTCAATACGAGATTCGGCTTTAGCTTTAGCTATCTGAAAAATAAGAATAAAATCAAACATTAAACAAATACAAATTCATATTTTAAATTTATAATTCAAATTTCTATATATATTCGATCTATATATATATATAGATAGTTTCTATTTCTAAAATAAGTGACACTATTAGACTATAGTGACTATATTAAAAGAACCAAATTTCTTTATGATTCAGGTTGAATTTTTGATGTTTAAATATTCGCTAAAAAAAAGCATTTAAAATTTAGAAAAATCGAAATTTTCAAAAGTCTTTAAACAGTACAAACTACATAAAGATTTTTTGAAACCAAAAATATATTCTCGACTACATAACTAACTTTTGAAAATCTATATCGTTTGATTTTCCGCAATATTTAATCGTGATATCAAGAAAAAAATTTAAACATCCATAGGTACATATATCAATATATCGATTTCTATATTCAAATTTATTTATATTACTACATCAATCCAGAAATCAGCTAACAGCACAAGTTTATAATTAGTCATTATTAATAATTATTAATTAATATACGAATAGTAAACAAACAACAACAATGTTAATGAATTAAATAAATTAATATATTAATAATATAATACAATAACCACTTAACATCAGTACAAACACTAAAAACTACTCCATTGTCACTGGTCAAATTATATATATTTCCATTATCAGGTGCTATTTTTAACCGGATCCAGAAATAAATAAAAACCCATGAATTATTAATATGATATTATTTAGTATAATATAAAATAGTGAAAAATATACTCAATTATCGATATCAACTATACAAAAAAAAAAGTTCACGATATCAATATCGTTGAAAAAACCTATTAAATAATACTTTTTAATGAAAATTCATTGAAATACCCGATTTCATTAAAATGTAATTTTGTAATGCTTCCTATAAAGCATAGATATATTTATTCAATATTTCATAAAAATGTAAAAAAATTAAAATATTTATTGAATATACAATATTGGGTATATATATATATAAATATTTAATTACGTATTAAACATTTATATTTTTTAAATATTTTAAATAAATTCTTATTACTTGAAACAAGTTCAACATGAAAAATCAAATATATACTCAATATTATATAAAGTTTTTACTAGAAATATTTAAATTCTAATTATATATTAATAGTATTTTAATCGATATGATTGATAAATGTATAAATGCATTGATGAATAAATAAGTTATAAATAATTTATACAACTTTTCAATAATTTTTAATATTAATTAAATTTTATAATAAAAATTAAACATGTGATAGAATTGAAAACATTTTGTCTAGTTAAAATAGTACCAGTTCTTAATTTATAATCTTTAGAACACGAAAGAAACCTAATATTATTATAATATCATTATAATATTAAAATAATTAGGTTTGTTATTCTATGAGTATTGGTATATCTGCAAATTATTCATGAAATATTTCATTAGTCACTTATAGTTAAGATATACTCCAGTTATTTCAAAACATTTAATTTTTACTAGAAATATTACTATTCTGAATTGGTGTTAACAGTCAATATGTGAACGCAAGAATATTTTTAACAGAATTTGTAATATTTTAGTAACTTTTAGTTATAAGTAATAAGACTTTTCAAAAAAATTACTAAAATTAATATGTGATTGCCTCTAGGATCTAAGAAGTAAAAAATATACTAGAATAACTTAATTTGTATTGTGTTGTAATTTATTTATCCAATTCGTTAAATTTTATATAATCGTTTGCACTATAATATGGAAACCAATTATCAAATTTATCGATGGAAATCATAATTAATTTTTTACTAAACCATCTATATTAAATTATTGGTCTATAGACTTAATTATAATTTTTATGATTTTGATAATACTGACGATTTTAGCATGAATGAATAATTTATTTCACTGTGATACCGTACCGATAATCGTTAAATAGGTAAATAAAGAACAAGACTCAAGTGTATCATAATGATTGTAGTAGCCCTAATAAAAATAAAAAATCTCACAATAAATCCTAATGTAAAAAGGAATTTTAATTGTTACTTTAATTATTTATCTTTTCTACTTACTTCTGATCTTCGAATGCTATTTTTCAGAGAATCTATTTTTGTTTCCAAATCAGGACCATTTGGATCATTAGGATCGTTCTATAAATATAATATGTTTAAATTTATATAGAATAATTAAATTAATATATATTTTATATAAATATACTGATATAACTACGGTTTTGTGAATTGTATATCAATAATACATTTATAGCAAAAATATATTTCAATATTGAAACAAAGATTAATGAAGAATACATTTATAGTTAAAATTTAGAAATTGTAATAATTGTAAGTAATATTTTAGATTTTGAAAAATTAAATCATTTATCGGGTATACAATATTGTTTTTAAACCGTATATTTATATTGAACCCCGGTTAAACAGTTATTAAAACCATATTTATACTATATGAGAATATTTATGTTTATATATTTATATTATAATTGTAATATTATATTTGTTTTAGATGAGAACTATAAAGACTAGTAAAAACATTTGAACAAGGTTATAACTTATAAGTTAATAACAATAACACACGCACACAAGTTATGCAATTTTTTGCACTTAATTTAATTTGTCCTTAAATAAATATATATGTATTAGGGTGGTCCTTATTTTTTGAATCGAAAAATTTGATGAGGAGTACCCCAAATTTTGTTCTATGTATTAAAACAATAACTATGACAAAGTTTGAGCGTGACAAGTTTACCCCTTCCCGTACCTCAAAGGGGTTGAATTTTTATTAATTGGGGATGAATTACCATTTTTTGCATTTACTCTCTTAAATATTGATGTTACGCAAAAAACTTTAAGTACTATTATTGTAGCTATATGTATTTACTAAATAAAAGTTTCTCATAAATATGTTGTGAGGTTGATGGTTATCCGTTAATTTAAAAAAAAAACTGGTCAAAGTTAATGTCTTAGGAAATTTCATAAGTTTTTAGTTTTTGACCTCTAATTTCTGCAATATTTATGTTATGCAAAAATCTCTAAGTACTATTGTTGTAGCTATATATATTTACTAAATAAAAGTTTCTCATAAATATGTTGTAAGGTTGATGGTTTACCGTCAGTTAACAAGAAACCGGAATGTTTAACGATTCGCCCTAATTTTATTATTTTTTGTTTATAAATAATTTTAATTTTGTTTTTACAATAAATCGATATTTTTGATGACGATAATCAGTACATTGATATTTGTCCTCCGATAACATAATATTTAGACTATTAGTTGTGTATTTTTAGACTATGAAACCACAAACACATTATATCTTTGACTTATCGCATTTTTATCTACGAGCCATAGCCAAATAGTATTTCATAATAAATTGAAAAAAGTGATTAATAAAACATAATATTAAATAATATTAAATTGCCATTATCCGTCAAACTGTCGGTTTATTTAGACGTCCAGTGTTCACAATTGTGTCATAAGTTAGTGCGACTTTTCTACACAAAGTGTTATACGTTTCTTTTTTTTCTTTTTTACGTTTGATTTAAAAATGCCTCGTCAGTATATTTTCCTTTTAGGTAATATGGTTAATCAAATTACTGGAAATAAATTACCATCCAATGGAGACTGCCTTCGGGTATTATTTCATAACATGCGTGTTGTAAATTTAAATTTAAATGATAGTTCGGGCCTTGTTGCTGATGAATGCTTATTGTTTTGGAAAAAGGCAAGAATACCTACTCAACATCATTGTGATGTAGTTCGAAAAATAAAAAATGTATATGAAAGTTGGCGAAGCTTAGATAAAAATAAAACAAGAAAGTCTGCAACACAACAGTACAATGAAAAAAAATTTCAAAACTCATTAAATAATTTGTTTGATATTGCCCACAAAGATGCTTTCAATATAATTAAAATTGAAGAAGACAGGCAGTTTCTAACTTTACAAAGACAAGAAGGTCGTGTTGGGTATATGATAGGTGTGGACAAAAAATTATGTGCAGTTGAAGAACGAAGATCTGAGCGAGAGCAAAGGAGAGAATTGTTCAAGCAAACAAACATCGATTATGGAACCGGGTAAATTAATTTTGTCATTAAAAAAAAAAAAATTATCTAATGATTTTTAACAATAATTTACCTAATATACAATATAAAATTGACTATATCTATTATTTTTTTTTTCAGCCCAACTAACAGTGTTGATGTTGTGGAGAGTATATCAAGCGATGATGAACGTGATGTGCTTAACTCTAAAGATTCCGAAATTTTTGAAAGTATTACAATGCCAGTGAAAAATAAACGAGGTAGGAAAGAAATTATGAATAGTCATTTAGCATCAGCTTTAGACAAATGTAAGGTTAGTGACAGGGATGCAGTTCACTTATTAATAGCATGTGCCGAGGTATTTAATGTAGATGTAAAAGACTATGCGATAAGTCGCTCTTCAATTAAGAGAGCTCGTGAAAGTTTTCGTTACCAAATATCTTCCGAAATTAAAACAGCGTTCCATCAATTAAACTTAAATTCTGTAGTTGTTCACTGGGATTCAAAAATACTTCCTAATTTGATTGGAACAGAAAATGTAGATAGATTACCAGTTATTATAACAGCACCAAACGTAGAACAACTTCTTGGAATACCACATTTGTCATCTGGTACCGGAAAGGAAATTTCTTCTGCAGTGTATGACACATAAAAGGATTGGGATATGTTGGAAAAAATGCAAGCGTTTGTTTTTGATACAACGGCATCCAACAGCGGCAGATTAAATGGATCATGTGTGCTATTAGAACAAATGTTAAACAGGCCAATAATGTTTTTGGCTTGTCGGCATCACATATTTGAAATTATTTTGCAATCAATTTTCTCATACTCAAAACTTACAATAATGTCCGGTCCCGATATTCCAATTTTTAAACGTTTTAAAAATAACTGGAATCAAATAGATACAACTAAATTTAGTACTTGGGTAAGTGATATTGGGGTCAAAAAAATATTGCATAAAGTAGTCGATGATGTTATAATATTTTGTAAAGATACCTTAAGCCAAAATCTACCAAGGGATGATTACAAAGAATTTTTGGAATTGGTAATAATTTTTTTGGGTGGGGTACCACCTAAAGGTATTCATTTTAGACGTCCAGGAGCTTATCATCTAGCTAGATGGATGTGCAAGGGAATATATTGTTTGAAAATATACATTTTTCAAGAACAATTTAAAATTACGAAAGCAGAAATTTCTTCGTTAAAAACTATTTGTTGTTTTATTGTAAAATGCTATATCGAGTTTTGGTTTAGGTCTCCTAATGCTATTGAAGCCCCTTATAACGATGTACTTTTTTTAAAAAAACTTGAAGACTATAAATCTGATGATAAGCGAGTGGCTGAGATCGCTATGAAAAAATTTATTAATCACTTATGGTATCTTGGAGAAGAAACCGCTTGTTTTTCGTTATTTGATGACAGGATTGATAATCAAATAAAAAAAACAAATGGCTAAAAAACTACTAGAAAATGACGAGCTTAAGGACGATGAATTTACCACAGATATACAAAAAAAATATGTATTAAAAATTGGCGATGTATCACAATTTCTAAAACAGGACTTACCACTTGAATTATTGACGCATAAATCGAAAAATATATTCCAAAGGTTCAAATTAAGCATTGATTTCTTGCAACAAAATCCGGAAATTTGGCCAAATATTGATAGTTATAAAAAGGCCAAGAATATTTTACACCATATGAGCGTCATAAATGATGCAGCCGAACGTGGAGTCAAATTGATGGAAGATTTTAATACCAAATTTACGAAAAAATGAAAATCAAAAGCAGTATGTATTGAAGGTAAGTTATATGTTAATAATTTACTAAAATAACTAGTGTCACTTAAGATTTATTTTTTTAGGTAGTACAAGAATACCGTAAAAAATATCCAGGCCATAGTAAAAATATGTTGACCAAAGATGCAATAAAATAGTAAAGTTACTATATTTCTATCCTTTTTTTTCTTCTTTTTTTAATGTAAAATGTTAAAAATTAAATAATAATAGTATAAAAATGTTATTTTTATATTTTATATAAAAAATGATTGTTTCAAAAATCGTCAAGAAACCTTATTAATATAGCATAGTACGTTCTATAACAAAATGTATGTAGGATTTTTGAATAACTTTAAAATTTAAGAGATAAGAGAAAAAAATAAAAATTATGAAATTTCCTAAGACATTAACTTTGACCAGTTTTTTTTAAATTAACGGATAACCATCAACCTCACAACATATTTATGAGAAACTTTTATTTAGTAAATACATATAGCTACAATAATAGTACTTATAATTTTTTGCGTAACATCAATATTTAAGAAAGTAAATGCAAAAAATGGTAATTCATCCCCAATTAATAAAAATTTTGAGGCACGGGAAGGGGTAAACATATCACGCCCAAACTTTGTCACAATTATTGTTTTAATACATAGAACAAAATTTGGGGTACTCGTCATCAATTTTCAAAAAAAAAAAAAATTGACCTCTATAGTTAAGGACCACCCTAATATGTATATATAATAAATATAACAAATATCACAGAGTAATAATGACATATTAATATAAATTTGAAGCCGAATAATCTTATATAAACATTAGATAAATAAAATAACACATAATATTATAACTTTAACAATTTAATTACCTTTTGACCAGATTCCCTGAGAGCTTGGAAGACTTGAAGTTTTCTAGTATTTTCTTTGATATTATTCGTTTCTCTAATTATTCGTGTAGCCCATCTTTTTGCTTCTTGACTAAGTATAGTTACTACTCCTCCGTGATCTGCTGTTATGTGATCTATACTATCACCATCACAAGGTTCAAACTGGTATTGAACATGTTGTTTTAATACAGGGTAGAAAAGGTACACACATTGCATGTTATATTCTCGACTTAACTATATTTTTTTAATCAAATTCGCATGTTAATAAACAAGACTATAATTAGTTAAAGTAATTAAATTTCTCGTTAATAATAACTTACTTGCTGTGCTTGGTGTCTGACTTTTTTAAATGAATTATGAACGACAGTACATGTAAGAAGCTCAATTTTACTTAGTAACGCCAAATATTCTTGTACTTTCTCATAAACATTATGCTCCATAGTCTATCCATTCAATTTATACATTAATTTCAAAATAAATATAGTAAGAATAATAATTATTAAAATAATTTAAAATCAAATCTATTCTAAGAAATTCATCATAAAAATTAAAATTAAATTTTTTCTAAAATTCAAAATAAAAAAATGTATTTAATAATTATATTTGTAATATTTATACTATAATGAATTATAAATACAATAAATAGATAAGTGTATTTTATTGAAAACAAGCAGTCCATTTCTCTCTACATAAAATTTAATAATCGTTATTATATTTAAATATTTTTTCATTTGAAATCGAAGTTAAGAGTAACTATTTAAAATATATTTACAACAATAATTAAAATATTTATATTATTATAATATACCACATAAGTAGAAAGATTTACTCACATTCATTACATTTTGAAGGTCAACCAAAAAATAACGTGTTTGATGAGCGTTAGCGGCTGCAAGACTTAATAAATAATCATTCCTGGCTCCCGAAGATTTCTCTTCCAAAACCTCCCTTCTGGAAGATACCTAAATATTAAGTGTATTGTGATAAGTTAATATAAAAAGTATGAATAGTTAATACTCAATATTAATATTGGTTCTCATGTTTTGTCTTTTAAAATATTGAAATACAAAACATTTATATTTACCTTCACACTGTTTTTTTGTAAAGACGTGATTGATTGGAAGAATGAACCTTTTTTTTTCTTTAATCTGTAAAGAGTATATTGTCCGTTGTAATATTAAATTGTATCGTGATTAAAAAAGAATATTTATAATTTATTAATAAATTAATATAATAATATATAAATTATTATTAATCAATATTTTTAGTACAGACTAAATAAAAAAAGGTCAAGATTTTTAATACCAATCAAATTTGAAGTAATATAAATAATTGATAATTTTACAGAATTTTATTATAAACATTATTTAAATTAAAAGTGTCATAAAAAAGTGTAAGCTTTCTTACTTTTCAATTCAATAAAAATCAATGACTAAGGGATATAATGGTTTAAAAAATATAAATTATAAAATCAAAACAGAAAAAAATATTTTTAACTGAAGTTTTGAGTCTTAAAAGATATATCAATCTATAAAGAACAAAATAAAAGATGATTTATAGACAAGGGTAAAGTATATAATATAAAACAATATATTTACCTATATATTATTAAGCAATATTTTTAATAGATAAAATTAAAATAAGTATTTTTTCGATATATATTTTTATATTTTTACTGCATAGACATTTTCCCAACTAAAAAATTTATTTTAATTTAAAATATATATATATATATATACGTTTCAATGAAATATATTAAAGAATTAGAAAAATTTAAAAATTATATTTTTAAATATTTTAAAATTTTAAAATAATATTTACTTTTCTTCTATGTCTTTAGCCTTGTCTCTCACTTCATGGGCACTTTGTTCTTCGTCGAAATAAAACTTTTTCGTTTTATCTACATCTTGGACGGAAGATTGAAGCTCTTTTTGTACCAGTGCTAAATGATCTGTGCACTATAATAATGAAAAACATCATATTTGAGTCTTGAATAAATTATTCTGAAATTATATTTATATACTTTATCGATATACATATGATAATGTAGTAGGTGAATTATTTAATTTAAATTAATTATGTATAAATATTTAGCATAATTTTATTTAAATTTGTATTAAGAATACTTCCAAACTATTATTACTATTGAGCTAAATATACAATAATATGAATAACAAATTTGGACCACATAGTCTTAGTTTTTTTTTTTTATTAAATATATGAATTTTGTATATATGACTACATTACTTAGTTAAATCTATAAATATATAAATTTATGCATATATACATATTGGATATAACTAATATTAACTGCGAATACTTTTAAAAATTAATAAAAATAAAGTCACATATTTTTTTTGCAATCTGAAGTTTATGCGCCCGGAGAACTTTTGCTTCATCGTTTATTTGGTTTTGTAATACTTCGATAGCTTCTAAACGTGCCTTTGCAGCAGTTTCGTTTTCTTCTAGCACGGTTCGCCAAACATTCCACATATTCCTTAAACCATTTAGAAATCATTTAGTTATAAACTAAAACAACATCTAATAGATATTTATAAATAAATAAGTATAAAAATAAGTAAGTAAGAAGTATGAGTATAAGAAAATAAAAATTATAATACTCGAGCATATATTTTTTTCAAATTATAAATATAATTTTATAAAAAGTAGTAAAATTAATATAGACCTATGTTCTAAAGATAATTAGATAAAATCCAGGTTTTGAAGATAGAAAAAAAATTTCAAAAGATTCTTCATTTGGCCACTCCAGAGAATACGCGTCTATTAATTCCTCAACTATCTCAGGAACACCCTGTTTAATGGTGTATGTTCAAATTTAGGTTTTTTGAGATTAAGGAATTCAGATGCGTTGTTTGGAAGTGTACAGACTATGGCCATTTCCCTATTTTAAAAAATTTAAAAACTCGGCAATTATTTGTCCGATGGTCGCTAAAATCAGTAATTTTGTATTTTGTAAATTCGTTTATATTCTCTTTTAAATACATTAACGTTTAATTAAAATTATAGGAAACACTTGCTTCTCGGCTGATGACGATTGATATTACGCGAAATACTTATGCTCGATACCTAGAGAAATTCTAAAATAAATATACATGGATTTAGAACAAATTGTTAATGTTGAAAATCGATAGCATTTTCCAAATATTATGAAGTTGGCAATTTTTTCAGTTGCTCCACCTATCAAAAATTAAAATGACATCCTAGTAAAATTGCAATCTTTTCAATTGTACTTTATTTAGAAATTGCATTACTTAAGTCTATGATGTATAACAATACAAATATTTTAAAACCAACAGTTTTTAATTGTTTTTAATCAGTCTACTAGTAAACTTTAAATACCGACTTAAAATTACTAACTGCATAAAAATTAAAATGTATAATTAAAACTCTTCTGTAATAGTTAATGTAAAACATTAAAAAGACAAGAGGGTTATACTTATGTCTCCTAAGTATATATGATAAACAGTTAAGTGCGACTGAACGATGCGTGGTGCGGGTCATGTTGATCAATTCGGCCAGTTCTAAACTCGAACAAAAGGTAAAATCACCTATTACAATACGTTAAATTATATTTTTATAAATTTTCTTAGTTATTAAACATATAATTTCTTTCTCCTGTGAAAATAAACATGATAAATAATATAATAATTGATCTATTTATTTAAAGATTTGTACTACGAAAATTACCATACATGCACATAAGTATCTATAAGTACATTTTTAAAAATCAGCATCTTCAAAGAATAAATATTAAGTTGCATTTTATTTCATTTTTTATTTCCTATCAAACTATGTTAATATGCTACAACGTGATGCATATAAATTTTGTTAATATATATTTATTAAATATCAACGTCTTAAGTAGGCTCTAAACATTTATCATTTATTTTTATTTATTTTATTTATATTTACTTTATAAATATAATAAATATTAAGTACTATAAAAGTATTTTTATTACATTATTGACTAAACATCAGACAGTGTATATGTATTTTTATTACTTATATTAGTATTATCATCATTATTGTAGTCATAATTATCATGTTACCTCATAATTTTACTGAATATTGAACAAATGTCAATAAATAGAATAAAAAAAAATCTTTAAAACAAACAAATTTAAGGTATTTAAAATAATATATGTATACTTGTAACTGTTAACTTCTCCTAGGTAAAATATATTTTATACTTAGGTTATTGTATGTCTATTAATTTAATTATTTTATCAAACTTAAAATTAAATTTGTTTTTGGACTATATGAATTGTAAAAATTTTTTTTCAAAATTTGAATTTTATAACGTTGGTACAATTATAATAAATATTTATTGACTACAAATAATTATTTATAATATTTAATTTCTCTATAATATTAAAGGTTATAAGAAAAACAACAGACTGTTATAGTCTTAAGAGTATATATGTCTTCAAAATTATAAAATAAAATAATTATTTATCACTATAAATTTGAATAATTTTCTAAATATAAAAATTATATAAGAAAAAAAAAAGATACTCTAATATTATATTCAAAAATATTGATAAGCATAAAATTTATTTTAAGCATAGTAGTAAATAAAATATGAAAATTTAATACAATTTAAACTAAAATAAGTAAAAATATGGCATGGAACAAAAAAGTAATCTATTTTAAATACATTTTTGTTTTACTTTAAATATATTATCTCGCATATAAATATTTCTACAAATTAAAATTATTAAAAATTATAATTCAAAACAAAAATTAACCATACAATTATAAATAAAGTTAAATTATAAACACACGATTACTTATCTTATGCTTACCATTTTTCTTCACTGCCTTCAGTCTTAATGTCTGGTATATTAGCGATTTTTTTATTCAAAAAAGCAACAGATATTTTGAGTAATGCCTATGAAAATGATTAATTAGGATTAATAAATGTTTCATAATTTAAATTCCTAAATTTAAAAATACTTATAAACGTATACTTACATCGGAGTATGATTTCTCTATAGCAGATTTTTTTATTAGAAAACTCCTGAAAGTAATTGTACATTATAAATCACTCATACTTCATATCTATTTATATTTTTAATATATTATATTTATTATCTTAATATATTACATCAATATAATATTTTATATTATTATAAAATGTTAAAATTGATAAGATAAAAGTAAATAAACAAACAAAAATATTCGAATATCTTAAAAGATTAATGTAAACTGAATATTAATATAAAATAACAAAGTATGAAATTATAATTATTTTTCAATCATCATTATTATTAAATTCATATTAATGTAATTATTTAAAAAAAAATGTCATTATAGTAAAATAATTCACAGTATACTAACAGTATACTATCAAATACATCAATAATAATTGTCTTTGTTTAATATTTTAAAATTATTTCTTTTACGTATAATTACATAAAACCTTAAATTAATTACCTTATATCTTCCAATAAGTCACATTCATTTTGATTTTTTAAAAGTAATTTTGCAATTTGTTCTGAGTGAAGATTTTTTAAAAACTTGACATAATTCCCCTAAAACAAATTAAAAATAAAATTTAAACACCAATGAAATAATAAAATATATTTCATTTTAATAATCATATAATAATATTATATTATTATATCAAAATAAATCATTAATATTTAAAAAAATATGTAACTGCAGTGATAAAATCATAAATAATAACATGATTTTATAATAGGGCTAAACTAAAGATTTTAAATAGGTATTCTATCATTTTTTTAAATTATATTTCAATAAAAAACCTCCATTAATATTTTTTTTGTTTTATTCGATATTTAAAAATAACTTAGTATCTATAGGTAAAATAATTTCTCGTGAGTACAATATTTTATTTTACACTTCGATGTAAATAATATGTTTCGTATTACAAATAACATTATACTGAGTGCACAAAAAAAATGTTTTACCGGTAACCCACTTCATATCTTCATAACTAAGGAAAATGTAGTAGTTACATATACTATTTTACTATCTTTACATAACTTAAATGATATTTTGATAGGATTATCATGGAATGATAAAGATCCATCCAGTCTTTTGCGATAAAATCCAGAATACAGCAACAAAAATGTAATAAATGACGAGAAGTATAACAATAATAACTACGATTCACAGAAAATTTACTACATCCGACAATACGTATAGTCAAATTATATTATAAAATCTTATATCATTATAAGACATAAATTAGTCAAGTAGCTATATATTTTACATCAATCACGTTATTTATAAAAAATAGTAATTATTATAAGTATGAATTCATAATTTATGTACAGGATGAAAAAATTTTCTTCTCTGTATTATTCATATTTAGCGAATTCTTATATTCCAATGCAAATGAATATATTTATTTTTGTTAATACAAGATTGCCATTCTTTTTCAAATTCTAAAACAAGGTCTCGGACTAAAATAATAGGAAAGACGATTATAAATATTAATACAATTTTACTTGAAAAATACTGTTCTAAAATTATATGTGACGTTATTTTATTATTATAAAAGATTGTAGTGTCAAGACCGTATAACATAAAATAATTTGTGAATTTTTACTGATAATATTATTATTTTACGTTTATTTTTTTGAAATATTGTTATATATATTAGTAAAGGAATATTTTACATTCATGAAAAAACAATTATTTATTTTTTAATCTATAGAGTATGTATTTTATTTAAAATAATAAGTCTCAATATTTGAATATTAGTTTTTTTTTATTTAATTTTTTAGTTATTTTAGTTTAAATATTTTTTATAGTACAGCAACTGAACTATGAACAAATCCTTTAGGAAAATCAGTTGAATATTATAATGATTGAACAAAGTTAAATTTTACCTCACATCGCTGTGAAAAAAAAGAAAATCCAAAGAGTTCAAAACAAAAAAAAAGCATGTTTAGGAGTGAAGGAGAAATATATACATACGTAATTTTTTTATTTTAATACTTTACGCCTTGCGAGAGGGGTGACCTAACGATTTGAAATATGACACACCACGCACGGTTAATGAAGGCAAATGGATTTTCGACGAAATATTAAAGTCACAAGAACATTTATGATTATTATCGTCACCCGAACAACGTGTGCAGTTCGCACGCACGAGCATCATTAGTTTTAACTATTATGTGCGCAAATAATGTATATATTACGCACATAGAATAAGATAGAATTGAAAAATGAATAATGAAAAATAAGAAGCACATACACGTAGTATAATTCTTTGGGCATTATCACGCATTGTTTAACACTAATGTATCTGATCACACACCCGAATCCTCATGAACTCCGGTAAACTTAGGTATTCGACGACTTTTGTGATTAACGAGCAGAACATTTTAATAATATTGTTATAAGAAAACAATTGGAAAATACTAGAAGCTAAAATTCTTTTCTCGTAACAATTAAATAATTTTTACCTTTCTGGGAGGTGGTTGCATCTCGCAGCCAACAGACACAAACGATAACGGCTTCAACGGCTGCTACTGTAGCAGAACGGCCACACCAAGGAGACGATAACACGAATAACTCGGAATGGTATAATTTATGCACCGATTTTTAAATACTATTATTATTATTATTATTGCTTTTATTATCGCTGTATTCTCTCCAAGTGGAATGAATACGGCGCGTGCAACGCCACCCCGACGACGACGACGACGACGACGACTGGCGCACGACCCTCTTCGTACGCGTTTTTTTCTTCCTTCCTCGTATCGTCTTCGTTTTTCACTAGGAACCTTTTTTTCCGCGGGATTCTATACCTATCAGTTTGCGTATTTTTAAATTGATTGAATTTAACCACTGTTATTATTGTTGTTATTACATTTAAACCTTGCGTCCGCAAATAACCAGTCGCGGACGGCGCATAGTGTACATTAGCGCGATGGTGTTGTCGACGAAGGAACGCAACGGTGCAGCCCAAAGTGGCGGCGAGACACGAGCGCGCGCGCGTTGCCCACACTGCTTGGCCGACGAGCTCTTTTCGTGAGCGTTCACTGCGCACGGCACGTATTCACCCTACCGCCACCACGGACCGTCACGTTATTTACCAAAAAACGAAACGGGCAAATCTCCCAACCCCTCGCGCCCTCGGAGAAAACACGAACGACCGTCACGATGCGGGTGTATTCGCACCCGAATTCGTAAGCGATTGGAATGTTAAGAAAACGGGAAAAATCGAGAGAAAACAGTCGCAACGGCCGTAATTACAATAACACGGCGGCAACGATGACGAAACGACGAAACTACCGAGTGTATAATAATAATAATAATAATAATAATAATGGTATAAATTGTACGGTAACGGTCGCGATGAAAGTCGAGCGCGCGTTCATCACTGTCGTAGAAAGTACGCGTAGGGCGGGTGGGTGGTACGTTATTGATTGTGCGGTTCTCGAACGACGGCGTATCGCGCGTGCCACACGTACGCGACCCCCGTTGTAGTCGCGCCGACCGTTCGACTGACGCGCGCGTGTGCCTTCAATCACCGTCCTCGTGTCAATAGTCGATAGTCCTTCGGTCGCGAACCATTGTCATAGTACTGTCTCCGTGGTCTTGCTTCGTGTCTTTTTCGTTACTATCGTCTACAACATAATAATAACAATATAAAACCCGGGGACAGACACCGCGAGACTTGTACGAAGCTGGTGAACACACCGAGCGAAAACGTTAGCAATCTAATTTTTTCCGTGCAGTCCTTAACCTATTTGTGGCTCGCGGACCCATTTAAAAATAATTTTCGGAGCCCTTCACCTTCCCTCGTTTCCCGCCATTACTATGAAATATTGAACTTAAATATATATCATTATTATTTCGACATATTAATGAAATCTACTCGTATTGTTTGTACCAAGAAAACTTTAGAACATAGCTGACCACGGGTTAAGAATTGCTGGTATGCAATGTTCATACGAGTTGTGTACTCGTATAATTGAAGGAGGTTTTGCAGCGTCGAGCCTCTCCGATTGTTACTGACGCTTTTTCAATATTATATTTCGTTTATTGAGCCAAAGCAAACTTTTGCGTAAAAATCAATATATGGCTTATTCCCTTTGGATATTTGGATATCGATCTAACCTTTTCCCTCCATCACAATCAAACATACGCAAAATCGAAGTAAAAGTGACCACTAACCGATTACCGAACATATGGTTATAAAATATTTATATGCCAATGAAAGTTGGACCACTGTTGACCAAAGTCAAAGGAGTGTTACCAATGGTTCAACATTATAGTAATTATATAACTGTCCGCGTATTTTTTCAGGAAAGATAATATTATTCTTGGTAATGAAAATATGCTGGACTGTTAAAAAATACTCGTAAATATTTATAAGTGAGTACGATTTACACTATGGCTTATTTTACACTACAAATAAATGAGACTCTATAGGAAATACCATTAATCCCTATTGACTGTCTTGATTGATTATGTTCATGGTTCAATCATAACAATTGCAGCCATGGGAGGGAGGGTTAGTGGGCCATGCCCCATCCCATTGGTCTTATCAATTTTTAATTACATTAGAAGTGGCGGTTACTCGTTTTTCTTACACTATAAAATGAATCAAATTTTACAGACTAAAAAACAGGTTTTATTAAAAGCTTTAGCTGATGTCATTGTAGTAAAGGGAGATTTAGAAGCTGTTCGGAAAGATATTGACAACCATAAGATACCAAAGATACATTTAATGAAGTTACTTTAATTGCTACTAAAGTAAATATCGAAATAAAAATACCACGTGTATGTGGAAGACAAATTAATAGAGTTAACATACAAAAAAGTAAAATTTTTCTTGAAAAATACTACCGAATATTATTTTTTTTTCCTTTCCTTAGTAGTATTTTATTACAACTGCAAACTATATTTAATCAACAGTTAAAAGAAGTCATAGCGCTTGAAGGGTAAATTCCTGACAATTTTAGTATATATAATAATGACTCCATATTAAGTCTGCATCAATGTATGATCTTCATGCCAATGCTAAACCTTAAAGAAAAATTACCTAAGTAGCAAAACCGCTTAAACCACAGAAAAATAAATGATTCAAGTTTTTTCTTCAAAATCTCATCGACGTCTCTTATTGTTAAATTGGTCAAAATAATTAAGCTAATAAATTGAAATTTAACTATAATAAAATAAAATATATTAAATAGAATAAACTTAATATAAAAATTACTATATTAATAAACTGTTATTTCTAATTGTTGATTAAGTTTTTTTAGTATTTTGGGTTTGCCTCTCCATTTTAAAATCCTGGCTACGCAACTGAATCATATTACATGTGTAGAGAAATGATAAAGATTTTCACTTTTATCATAAAACGATAATTTCAAATTCCATTCTGAACAATTTATTATTAATTATTTAATTATAAACCTATCCAATGACTTTTTTTAATAAAATTATAAAAACTTTAATTAAAATTAAAAATTATGAAATGATTAATACTCATAAATTAATATATAAATAAATAAACAAATAGTTTATTTATAGAAATATATAAATAAATAAAATCTTAGCCTGGAGTATTATTATATTTGTAAAGTACTACCGGTTTTGAATTAAAAATACATCATCAGGTATATACAAAGTCAATAAAGTCAATAAAATCTGGACTCTTATTATTTATAATTATAAATATATTATCTCTTTTTCATTTTTCTTTTATTTATTGATTTATTTCTGTATATAACATATTTATTTATTTATAATTATAATTTTTTTTTTTGTTTTTGAAGAAAAGTTTTTAAAATTTTTTTTTTTTCTTTGCAGCATTTTTATCACATATTATGCAATGAAAATCAAACATGTATTGTACTTTTAAATTATAATTTTCTAATTTTCGTACAAAATTTAAAAATTGTCTAAATTTTTAATATTTATTCCGTTTTTTCATAATTCGAAATAATTATATAGATATTCATTTACAAAATAATAAGATCAATAAAAAAAAAAAATGTCAAAAATTAATATGGTCAAGGATGCAAACCCGAATTTTGACCTTTTAGTAACGCCTGTGTGCATTTTACTTGTGGTGTTATAAATCAATAGTTATTTTACAAAGCTACTTATTATAGTGATGTTATTAAAAATTATACTAAAAAATGATTTCAGAATAAAAACTTGATTGAGTTAACAATTAACAACGAATATACACTCATGGAATATATTATAAAATATATTTTATTTTTAAAATTATTCGACTGACTTAATACCAATAATAATAGTTACTATAGAATAAAAGAAAATAAAAGAAAATCGCGTTATTTACAAATAAAAATTATCATGTTGACATAACATAAAATATATATATGTGTAGGTATATGTATACACAATTTCATTCATCATAAATATTATTATACTTTAGACAGTAGCGTATATAGGTTTTGATTTCGGAGGGAGCCCGATCATGTATTTAATTTTAGGGGAGAAGAGAAGAAGAAAGAACAGTATAAGACTTCTTAACTGTCTTTACATCATTAAAGAAATAAGAAACTCAATTTTTTTAATGATTTATAGTTTTAAAAAAACTACATTGTAATAAACAATTTTTTTTTATTAGAGTCACTCAAAGTTCACCACATATTTTCTTAAAAGAATAAATATATTTTATAAATATAAAATTTTAAATTATCGCATAAGCAACATTCTCAGTATTGCGACAAATTTTCTGAATAACCCGCAGCCTTAAGACATATCCACGTCAAAAATTATATTTTTTAATAATGATGTTTTTCATTTTGTGGGGGGGTCTTTGCCCCCCCCTCGCCAATTAATACGCCCCTGACTTTATAATCTATTAGATTCTAAAAAGGATACATTTCACTCCAGCTCATTAATTATAGTCACGGCGTGTAAGATAGGCATTTTAGCTACATGCATGTGTTACAACTTTTTATGCATATACATAAATGTGTATATGAATAATAAAAAATAATAGTAATATGGTGTTCGGTGCTTCTCACGTCTTACCTTGCTATATTGTTTAGGACCAATTTATATAATTTATGCATTATTCTTGAGCAATACGTATATGAATATTAGTATGTGTAGAAAAGATAACATTATTATTGTTTTGACGTGCAATATGCATAAGATAACCCCATACGTTCTATTTTGAACGGGACTGTCCCATTTTTTGCATCTTTGTCCCATTATCCCCTGGAAAACTTTCGGGATACTGGGATCCCCTTATACGAATAGCATGCGGATTTTCTTCAGACCACAAATGCGAGTTGTGTTGGTTGAAAATTCCATCTTTTGTAAATACAGCCTCGTCAGTAAATAAAATATTTTTTAAAAAATTTGGATTAATTATGATTTTATCAAAAATGGTGTGCGAATATATCAACCTTACAGGATAGTTGTGTGGTAATAATTCTTGAACTCGTTGTCGATGATAAGGGTGCATGTTGTTTTGGTCTAATATTTTCCAAACTACTGATAGAGAAATTCTAGTTCTTAAGGTTATGCGACGGACACTAAGTTCTGGATCTTCATGTACTTAATCAATTATCAATTCTTCGTTCACCCCACGTTTCGTACATATCTTGGGCGTTCACGATTAGTATTTACAGGTCTTACGTTACCTGAAATGGTTAATTTATTTAAAATATTAAAATGACAAACTTGATTAAAAGTTACCATTTTATCTCAAACGACGATAAGTTGATAAAATAGTATTTAGATGAGATATTTTACGCAGAGGAAATCGTTCTGCCAATAATCTAGCAAGATTTCCATTTCCATCGGCCAAACCTAATAATCACTATTGTGAATTGATTTACAAATAAATATTTTGTGACTTATAACAAGTCATTTATGTCACTTAAAATAATTTTCTATATGCTTTGTGAAAAAAAAATGTGAACGAAATAAATGACGAGCGTTACTTAAACTTTTACGGAGCTTTAATATTGTCGAACGTTTACTTTTTAAATTTTTTCTTAAATTTTCTATTGTTTTTTTAAATTTCTCTATTTCCTGTTTAGAATCCTCGTTTGTATTCGCAAATAACTGAACTGGTTTAAATTTGAGAGGACTAGGCATATTAATTGAATTTTGAATTAAATGTTGTGTTTTTGGAGTAAGAATTGGTGTTGTTTGTTCTGATACACGAGAAGAATTTATTTTAGTCGGTGTTGGAGTATAAATCGATTTTGTGGGAGAGTATTGCTTTGAAGTTGACATTGAAGGTTAGTTATGCTTTAAAATTTTAGATGAATACGTATTTATTGGAGTGCGGACGTGGAAAAAAGCATTTT